GCCGCAAAAAAATATATTAAAATGAAAAGAAAAATATTTTCTAGAACGTGGTTTAAAAAGAATTGAGGTGTCTTTTTTTGGACAAATAAAATATGAAACTACTCCAAATGTCTCATTAACATTATGAGGTGTCTTATCATAACTACTCCCTCCGTTTCTTAAAACCCTTCCTCTTTCATTTTTTTTTGTTTTTTCTTAAAACACTTCCCCTTTCTATTAAAAAACCACTTTTACTCATACTTTTTCATACCATATCTATCACATCATACTTTTTCACTAATAACTAAACTATCACATCTTACTTTTACCCATCACATCAAGGACAAAATTGGAAATTCAACTACAATTTAACACTTTCTTATTTTCCCCCAAAGTCAAAAGAGAAATCTTTTGAGAAACGGAGATAGTATGTTTTTGTTTGTAAAAAAAATAGTATGTTTCATTTGTGAAATTCGGAATAAAAGGAAATGAAAAGAAATACTCGCATATTTCTTTCATTTTCCTTAGCTTTTCTTATTTTCTTTTTCCTTGCAATCTTTTATCTCTAACCAAACAAGAAAAATTGTTTCTTCTCTCATTTTCTTTCCATCTTCCCTTTCTAATTTTTTTTTTAAAATGGCAGAATCGTTTACTTTTTTGATTTGGTCTAAAATATTAAGCTTCAAACCAATAACCCATGGTTTTACTTGGTACTCCAAAAACTATTTGTAGAAGTTAAATTATGTTTATATTTTAAAAATATGAAATTGATAGGGAAAGCTTTCTCTTCTATCATGTTTTAGCTTTTCTTAAACAAGATTATTAACTTCCTTGGACAAAATTAGTGGCGAAAAGTATGAATTGTATACGGATTAATTAGAAAACGGCGGAGAAATCAAATTGAAGAGTGTTTAAAAACTCCGTAGGACTTATGATAAGAACTGTGGTGGAGCTGGCATGATATATGTTTTAATCAAACTCAAACCCGAAAAATCAACAAATCAGAGTGGCGCAGCGGAAGCGTGGTGGGCCCATAACCCACAGGTCCCAGGATCGAAACCTGGCTCTGATATTTTCAATGTTTTTCCCCACTCTTTTCCTTCTCATACTGTTTTACGGAGTAACTTTTAATTCACACTTTATTCATCTCGTCGTTTTCTTTTTGACGTTTTTGAATTTAAACAAATACTCCACGAACTTGATTTGGCAAGCCTGAATTTAGATTCCTCTGTTCAATTTTTATTTGCATCACTTTTGATTTAAAACACCACACAATCATGTACTAGAGTCGGGTTGACTAAGAGGTCTCGGGTTTGATTCTCACCATCACCCAGTTTTTAAAAAAAGAATTTATGGTTTTACGTGCAAGACTCTAAGAGACTACATTAGAAGGTGAAGAAGCGTGTTAGAATATAAAAAACATTTTTCACTCCCTTGGACAAATGTCAATGATCCTAATGGTGATTATGAATTTCCTCTTCCTGACCAGTTAGCTTTCCGATAGCAAAATGTTGCAGATATTGGAGGGTTTTTATTGTATCTCTCTAATAGTTTAAGACCCAACTTAGTTTATTCTACGTTATTTAGAGAGTGATTGACTTGTGGATAAAGTGATTTTCATAAAAGCTGAAAGCAAAAGACCTAATACATGCTTCTCCGAAACGGTGTTCTATGTACAAAATAATAGTGGTGAAAAGCAGAAGTTGACATACCAAACAGAACAAAATCACTTCCACTCAAAGCAGAAGCTAAATTATTAAAAGCAACACAATGCCAAACACTCTCTTAGTCCTTTTTCCAACGTTTACATAAAGTATTTTTATAAAATAGTTATATATGAATTTCACTAGTGTTAGTGGTTTTAGTAACGTCAGCTATTTTATATAATGAGATTCATTAGGATTAAACGATAATTTTAAATAGGCGTTGTTAACGAGTTGAGTGGTTGGGATGCATGCCCGTTCAACGATATTAAAAATTTCGTAACATTAGTCTGAGGGCGGTAGAGTCCAAGGAGCATAGCCCATGATTGTGGTTGGGCTACTAGGTAAACTGGAAAACTTTTCATATTGGTTATTGTTCCTTGTGATTTTTGTAAACAGATTCGAAAGTAAGGCAACATTTGAATGTTTATAATACGGAGTACTCTGTAGTACATTGGAATGTGTAGTTTATTTCCAGCATCATTTGTGAAAAAGCATGTCACATTCAAATATATTACCTGAAACGTTCAAATGGTATGCGTAAAGTTGTGTCGTTTCTTCAACAAGCAGGTTTAACAAGTTTGTGCGTGCTCTTTATGTATGGAGTCCTCGGGTATGTTATGTTTGAGTGAGATAGAACTTTTAGGGGTGAATATGCATTTTGGTTATTCGGTTAACTGAATAAATCAAATTAAAGAATCGAAAACCGACCAAATTAACCTAAAAAACTGATAATTTGAAAATGGGTAACCGAAACCGAAAAATCGGTTATTTTGGTTTCACGGTTGATCTGGTTATTTTGCACATCCCTACATCTTGTCGCGCCGCACCGAACCCCAGGCGAATTCGCGGCTCGCCCGCCTCTGCAACCC